GCTCTCTCTCTCTCTCTCTCTCTCTCTCTCTCTCCCCCCTTCCTCCTTCCCGCACTTGTGGGCTGTAACGGGTTTTTCACTCAACAATTGAATTTTATTTTCAATTCTTTTTCCCTCTAGTCTGGCTGTGGACACTACTTGTGTCAATTAGAGGTTTCTTTGAAAACTGCATGGTGGACTACATATTGTAGTTTGCTTCTCTTTGTTCTTTGTTCCATTTTTTACCCCTCTTGGTCTTGTTCCACTCTTCACCAGTGAATTTCAGCCTCTTCTTCAAGCATATCACTGCTCAACTTCTTGCTGGAGCACAGGAATGGGACGAGCTTTTAGATGGAGGAACTCATGTTGATAAAAACAAATTAGGTGGTGGCATCCTGTTAATGGGTGAAGCATTTGCTCGTATTATTCGGCGAGGATCAGCAGGTACATTTGATCAAGCACAAGCAAATTGTTCAGGGAATCTTATTTTTTTATTAGTACAAATAATTTGATATATGAGTTTATAAAGTGGAATCAATTTGTAATTTGATATATGAGTTTATAAAGTGGAATCATTTTGTGCAAGTAGATGTGCTGTTAAGTGTATTGGTTCCTGAGTTACTTAAACATGTGCGGGGCTCCTTGCCATTAAATTCGGATATCCCCGTTGGTGAAGCATTTGAATCAACACCTGGTTTGCGATTTTGGTTGAAGATGATAGAGTCAATCAAAGACCCTTACTCTGTAGAAAGAATGACTGAAGAGCTACTTAAACAATTAGCAGCTCAAAATACAGGAGATATTGAAGCTCACTTGATTTTGTGGATATTGTTTCATCAGATTTACCAGCAACAAGCCTCGATTAGGTTTGTGAATATTCACAATGCATTATTATGATAGAATGTGGATTCCGTTTTGATTGTCTTGAAAAGATTGTTAACTTTGAGGGGTACAATATCCTTTTTTATATTTTTGACCGGTCTTTTCTTCAATTTTCTCTTTCAGGTCCATGTTTCTTGAGAAATTTTTGTTGTGGAAAGTATTCCCTAGCAATTGCTTGAGATGGATTCTTCACTTTGCTGTTTTTCAGTGTTCCCCTGGAAATTCCTCATCTGTGAAAGCTTGTAACCTCCGTAGTCTCTCAGAGACTGTCCAGCATCTTGTCACGGCGTGGTCCAAACGAGAATTTGTGCAATCAACTTCTATTGAGCAGCAAGCCTGTATTCTTTTTCTTTTCTTTGAGTAGTAAAATTTACACCTTTAGTGAGGAAATTATAAGATCTGTAATTCTTTAGTCTACTCAACGATTTTGTGCTTCCTTAACTTAAGATCCAGATATAACTGCTGCATTAGGCCTTTGCCTAGAGAAGATGTCTAAAGAAGATTTAGATGCAACCAAGGATGCAATGCACTGTATTCTTGAAGGAGTTAGCTGTAAAATTTTGCTCTTACTGCTGTAAAATTTTACAATATAATCTTTCTATATGACTACTGACTAGTTAATGTAAATCTTCTTATATCTTTTGTGTTTGCTGACAGGTAGGTTAGAAGGTGCTGACCATTTGGTCCGTAAAATGGCTAGCAGTGTTGCTTTAGCATTTTCCAAAGTAATTGACCCCCAGAATCCTCTCTACCTTGATGATAGTTGCCGCGAGGAATCTATTGACTGGGAGTTTGGTTTATTAACCCCAGAAAAAAGATTATTGGCTAGGTCAACAAACATAGATGGAGATACTAAGAGCTGTTCAAGCACAGTAGTTGCAAAAGAATTAAATACCATAGCTGCTACCAGCACACATGATAACGTGATGGGCAAAAAGAAGAAATTGTTTGAATTTGAATCCGTTGATCCAGATGAGATTATTGATCCAGCATCCCTAAATAATGAGGTGGACTCAAGGGAAGATGATGAGGATAATGCAAGTGAAACCTCTGAGTCCTCGAATGACTCGTCTCTGCAGCCATATGACTTGTCAGATGATGATGCAGATCTGAAAAGAAGTTTCTCACAGTTAGTGGATGTGATTGGAGCACTAAGAAAATCTGATGATGCTGATGGAGTGAGTTCAAATTCTTAAATCACCCTATCAGACAATTCTGCAGAGTTTTAATTGTATCACTCTTCTAAGGATTGAACAAGCTTTGATACCATTTTTTTGCTCCGAAAGATCTGTACCAGTTTATAGTAGACCGAGAGTTGGTCAAGTGACTATTAGTTTGTAGTTACCAAGATTACTATAAAATAGTTTGATATCTAGTAAGACAAATTAGTAGCTCCGGCGCTATCACTGAAAAGTAGGTGAAAAAAGTTCCCCCTCTACCATTTTTGACGTCTTTCCTCTTAGCAGGTTGATAAGGCTATTGATGTTGCTGAGAAGCTTATACGAGCATCACCTGATGAGCTCAAGTTTGTAGCTTCTGATCTAGCCAGAAGTCTTCTACAAGCCCGCTGCTCTGATTCAACTATTGAAGGGGTGGAAGAGTCAGCTGAAGAGAAGAGACAAAAAGCACTTGTTGCTTTGATTGTCACATGTCCTCATGAATCGCTCAATACACTAAACAAATTGCTTTATTCACCAAATTTAGATGTCAGCCAGCGGTTAATGATACTTGATGTAATGACAGAGGCTGCACAGGAGCTTGCAAGTACAGGGATTTCAAGACTTAAACAACGGCCTGGCGCTCTCATATCATCCATGTCCGATCAAGCATGGTTCATGCCAAAACCTATTGGTCCTCCAGGAACTGGTCCTTGGAAGGAGATCTCAACACCAGGAACTCCTTTGAATTGGTCTCACTCTTATGAGAGAGAACTTCCCCCTAAACCAGGTCAGATCAAGAAAGGAAAGACTCGCCGTTGGAGCCTTCATTCAGCTGTACCAGAAAATCACCTTGAATGGTCCCAGAATAAGTTTCCCCAGTATGCAGCGGCATTTATGCTTCCAGCCATGGAAGGATTTGATAAGAAAAGGCATGGTGTAGATTTGCTTGGCAGAGACTTTCTCGTTTTGGGGAAGCTTATTTACATGCTCGGTGTCTGTGTGAAGTGTTCAGCCATGCATCCAGAAGCATCTATTTTGGCATCTCCTCTTTTGGAATTGTTAAGATCAAGGTAATAACCCTTGTATATTATATCAGAGAATATACCTTCTTACATAACTACCGATCTAATCTTGCAAACGTATTGAAATAGAAGATGAGCTTACCGGAGAAAAAATGCGTATCTTCTTTTAACTTCTAAAATTAAATGTGTTTATCTTTTTTGGGACCGAGGCTTAGTTGTTGTTGTTTGTTGGTGGTAGAAGTGACCTGCTTCCATTTGTAATTTTTACTGTGGTATTGGACAATGCACTAGTCTGTCAGTGTGAATTCCTATCTTGTTTCAATTTTCTTGTTTACATTTAGATGCCCACTGAAGTTTTCACTCTCTATACTACCAGGGAGATATCTCATCATGTGGAAGCTTATGTTAGGAGATCTGTCCTGTTTACTTCTTCATGCATATTGATTTCTCTTCATCCCTCCTATGTGGCGGCTGCCTTGGTTGAGGGAAATTCTGAAATTTCAAAAGGACTTGAGTGGGTTCGCACCTGGGCACTTCATATTGCTGAATCTGACACCGACAGGGAGTGCTACACAGTAAGTCAAACGAGCTGTATGCCCCTCTCAGACTTCATGCATATTCTGTTCTGTTTGTTTTATGTGCACCTATTACTCTGTAGATTGTTAGCTGACTGTCACAGACACAGCTAGTACCTTCCTCCTGTTCAAAGGTACGAATGTAAGTCCAAATAGAGACTAAAGTGTTCAATGGCACATTATAAGATTGCATAGTAGGATTTGTTTTTTCCGAAGGTGCTCATAGACGGAGAGAACTTGACTGTATGTTTAATGCTTTACAAAAAGGCAAGCAGAAGAAAAAGTAAGACCAAAATCCTGAAGTGTAAAAATTGTGTACATGAAGCCCTTTGAAGAAAGTCAGTAGAAATTTAACTGTTAAAACTTGCAATTTGTTTGTTCTAACTTCATGAGTTGTTAGCTACCAATCAAATTCTTTGCTTTATTTTGGGTTATATTGTGTGTCAGGCATGAACAGTTATCTAGTATTATTTCCAGGTTACTTGTTAGTGATTGCCCTTTGATTGTTCAGATAAATGTTTAATGTTATTGGTATCTGTTGCAACTAATATATCAAAGGCTAAGTTCTTATCACCATCAATTAGTCATTTTGAACAGACAATTAAACTGTTTGGTTTCGTTTTCTGATCTTTTAATCTTGATTTCCAGTTTTTATATTCTCGTATAATTCCATGTTTGGGTTTTCTTTTTGCTTTACATAGCCACCCTAATTACTTCTAATTTTGCAGCTGGCTATGACTTGCCTCCAACTCCATTCAGAGATGGCTCTTCAAACTTCTCGAGCACTTGAATCACCAGAAAGCTTACCTGGATCGAATAGCAGCAGTCTACCATCAAATGTATTGAGGGGGTTTATCAAAATCCCCAATTCAAGTGGTGGCATTCTGAATGCCCCTTAGATATTATTGACATGTTTATTCTCTGGCACGATCTGTATATTTCTGTAATATCCAACCTCGCCTTCCTATATGACATCCCTCAGCACGAAAGGTAAAATGATTCTGCCTTTGTTCTTGCCTGTATTTTTTGTTGTATGCCATGCAAATGGATTTACTTAATGATTTTTCATATTGTATCCCTCACCTTCATATTTGTATATTTTTGTATATAATAGGATGAAAAAATATGTAATAGCAATTATAGAGAATAGACATACAACGTAAGACATACATATGAAAAGTATTAAAAGAACAAAATCAAATGTATATGAATATACTAAATTAGCCAAGCATGTGAATAACACTGCATTTAAATTCTTAGAAACCCTTTTACATCTTGTTTTTTTTATCATCCAAATAAAATAAAACAAAGAAACTTTAGTTTATTGTTATCCTTCCAAATTATGAAAAATTAAACAGTCGGTCTATCACTGTTGGCAGAACTAACCGCAATAATAACATGGAAGCCCCTTAGATTTGTTTGAAATTGCCAAAAAAAAAACGTCATTCACATTGTTAAACGTAAAGTTATGTCGTTCAATTTCTGAAGCCTTAATCGAACCTCGGCTGTAGAATTGTTGTCCCTATGCATCAAGAAGAATGAAACTTTACTGTAATCCCATCCCATGGAATAAAATTAGCAATTTCAAAAATACAGAACGTCTTGCAGTTATATATAAAAATATGTGGTTAAAAAAGGATGAAAGGATACACCCTCTCATTTTAGGACACAACTTGTAGTTTAAAACTTCATTTTTTTAAAACTTCTAGTTTGAAACTTAATTTACTGATAATAGTTAAACAATTATCGAATATCTTCAAAATAAGATTAAGAATGAAGTTATCTGGAACAAGATGGGAGTAGCCCCAATGGAGGACAAGATGAAGAAAGCGAGGTTGAGATGGTTCGTATATGTGAAGAGGAGGGGTGCAGATGCCTCCGTGAGGAGGTGTGAGAGGTTAGCCTTGGTGTTCCGAAAAGAGATAGAGGTAGGCCTAAGAAGTATTGGGGAGAACTGATTAGGCAGGATATGACGCAACTTCAGTTTACTGAGGACATGACCCTTGATAGGAGGGTGTGAAGGTTGATAATTAGGGTAAGAGGTTAGTGGATAGTCGAGCTTATTTCTATGCCGTACCAGTAGATAGTAGTATTAGTCTTGTACTCTCGTATTCTTAGAGTTCTATTTTACCTGTTGTTTCTTTCGCTTCAGTTAACTTATTATCTTGTTGATATGTATGTTACTGATTGTTTATTTCTGCCCCCTTTTTTTGGCTTACCTTGAGCCATGGGTCTTCGGAAACAACCTCTCTATCTTCACAAGGTAGGGGTAAGGTATGCGTACACACTACCCTCCCCAGACCCCACTTGTGGGATTATACTCGGTATGTTGTTGTTATTGTTGTCCAATACAAAACCTCAAACCCAGTAAATGATGTTTCTTATTAACAATGAATTGAGCAAATTAAAACAATGGGACGGTTCAAGCTTGTGAATAATCTTAACTAAATTTCAGGAAAAAAAGTACATTAACTAAAAATTATCAGCAATCTTTTCATGCTCTTTTGTGAACATCCAAATCAAAGACAGTTACCGAATGCTTGTAGCAAAATACTGTTGTCTCCACTAAAACTCAACCTAGAGAATACAGTTTCTTGTCATTCAATAAAGTAGTCAAGAGTAAAGCATCCTAACTACCAAAAAATAATTACAGATATGGAAGAAAAAGCAGACAAAGTGTGATACGGCATACAACATCTCCCTGCTACAACTGATAATTGAATTTCTTGGCCAAAGAGAAGTGCCAAATCCCCTTGTCTATGTCCTCCTTTCTATACATATATAGATTTTATATTTACAACTTTAACCCTTCTTCTCACCGTAACTATCAACAAGTAGATTGAATACCAATTTCCAGCAAGCAAAAAAAAATTTATCCGTAAAAAGAAAGAGTAATTCAATATACATATGAAGTGAAGCATTCTGAAGTGAAGCATCATAATTGACTTTTGATCAACGATATTTTTCTGTCAACAATATCTAAGGAAATCTAAGGAAGGCTTTTCGTTTTTATTCCGGTGCAGAGGCCATGACAGATCACACAAGATCAAGAACACAAATGGATCTATAAGAATTGCATTCACTTGTGCACAATTTGACGTGTGATATGGAGGATTGGTTGGTAGTCGACAACTGCAGGTATGATCCTTCTATCTTTACTAGTTCCTCGGCACGTGCGTTACACGTATATCTCGAGTCTGATTATTAATACAAAGCTTTGAATAAGTAACTTTACTTGAAAGAATAAACTACAAGTTATTATAATTAATGTGGTCTTTATATGGTGGATCGTTTGTCGAGATCGAGATGATTGGATATCTAACCTACGAGGATGAACAATCAAAGTTTAATTAGATACATGCTATTGTTATTACTTATTTTGATTTTATGAGGTACGTAATACTTCCTTATAGATGATATTCTTACTGTATGTTCCTTTCATCCGTTTCGGTCACTTTGTTATGACTCTCAAGAAGCACCTAGCTCAATTTTTTGTATATAAGACTATTAAGTTCAGTTCTACTCCCACACACCATCCTAGAAAGTTTGACTTGATCTTCCGTATAGACTTTTGCATTTTTTTTGTTACTCTTCTTCAATCCTCTTGCCATATTTTAACTTTAAGTATAAGAGATACTTCTTTGATTTCTCTTCTTATAGGTAATTTCTTATGAGGGCTAAGCGCAGCACATATAGAAGAAAGGGTGGTTGTTCTCTCGATACCAAAACCTTGATAGTAATAAAACACAGTTCCACCCCTAATTGAATTGCATTTTTGAAGTTTTTACAAAGGTATAAAATTTGAGTCTACGTCGGAAAGAGTGAATCCTCACTTAATAACCCCTTCCCACGAATGGACTTTGGGGGAAGGTGAACAGGAACCATAACAGAATTAGGAAAGTCTTACCACTCATCTTTGACCCTATTTCTTACACGTGAAAATTCTTTTTAATTAAATAATTATACATCCGGGGAGGCTGATCTCTAGTTATACATAACTTTTTTTAAACTCCGGTTATGCATACCTTGATATATATGATGTTGGTATTCTTAAAAAAAAATTGTTTGAACTCTTAAGGAAGTAAATAATAGTATATGTATTTCTCAAGCAAACTATGCTCATTTTTCATTTATGGACTATACTTGGAAACATTTATCCCTTTATACCATCTTACTTTTGTCACAATTCCTGTAAATATAGTAGTTGTACGTTACTCTTAAATGTATAATTATCTTTAATTATTTATTTCTTTTGTTAGTTTATTAATATTAATGAGGTGACTTTTGGAGTTTCAAAAATATCACATAAATCAGAAAAGGGAAAAAAGCAAAAGATCAAGGAAAAAAGATCGATAGATAGGAGTTTTAGCTTTAGAGAATGCCACAATCCTTCGGAAAAAAGTTAGAAATAGCCTGATTTACAACTGCTACTTGAAAATTAGCCACAGTTTCAAAAGTAATCGAAATTTTGCCACTTTTCATGTAAAAATAAAATCTGAACAAAAAAAAACAATTCTAGCATAATATGCCCGAGTTCGAATTTTTTACATATGAGATTCCAGCATAATGTGTTGGAGTTCCAACATAATATGATGGAAGTTTATATGCAGGAGCTCCATAATCCAGCATATTATGCTGGAACTTTTCGTATTTCAGCTAGGGTATTTTTGTCCAGATTTTATCTCCGCATAAAATAGTGGCTATTTTTCAATTACCAGCCCGAAAATTGCTTGGCCCATGCTATTTTGACCATTCCTTCATCGTGTGGTTCAATAATCGTTAAACTATCTTAATATCTCATTATGCTCGCATAGAAAGTTTCTCTTTTCTTCAATCTCGTGTAGCACAACTTCCACATATTCACATAAAGATAAATTAAGAGAATATGATACAATAAATACAAATATATAACTTAAGAATAATGTTAAGACATGCCTGAACAATAAACAAATTCATATGAACAACAGAGCAACACTAAGACCTTATTAGATATAATTTGGGGAAAAACTGAACTATATATAACATCTAATAGAAAACGCAGTTTGATACTTTCTTAACCATTAAAAAATATATGAATGAATAGAAACATGAGATTGTCCAGTGTTCCTCTCGGGGTTAGTGGCAAAGAAGACAATGTAGACTAAAACAAAGGTACCATTAAGTTCTTTTTGGACATGATTATTATTTTACCTGTGATGGAATCACGTGATATTTTTTCATGGAGGATTTTGCAATGCTTTAGTCTCTATTTGCAAATCATCTTTCTTAAGAGGACTTAGCGGTTTAAAGAGTAGAACAAACTTGGAAGTGATAAGAAGGAGGAAAGAAAATAGAGATTGAGACTGAAATTTGAGAGCTATATTCCATTTTTTTTTTTAATAAGACAAGAAGATTTAATTTGAGATAAGTACAAATTTTTGGTCTTTCTAATTGAAGGATAATCTTTGTAATTCATTCCCACTTAATTATGATCATGAAAAGAGGATATACATTAAGCCAAGTATCTTATGAATTATGCTCCATGTTGAAAAAGTTATTATTAAAACCTTTAATACATTAAGCCAAGTATCTTATGAATTATGCTCCATGTTGAAAAAATTATTATTAAAACCTTTAATTCATACCAATGGATAACCTTTTCGGTGAGTTTCCTGTCGATCACCTTAAGTTTGTAGTCCTACTGGATCTAATTAGCTTTAAATATTAACAATGTATATACGAAAAATAAACAAATAATACAAGAGTCATCAACACAAACTTTCAGAGAAAAGATATCATAACCGATCACAGGATTCACTTTGACAATAATGTTATATATTGTCCCCTTAAAAAAAAATAGGGCTATATATTGTCGGCATATATAACTAATAAGCGTAGAGACTAATGAATACTTGCAAAAAGAGTAAAACTTGCGGCAACCAATAGGAGAACCATCAGATCTGGCTGTTGATGAATGAGTATAAGCATTGGCTTGGGGGTGTTATAGGTGTATTTTTTTCCCGCGAAGAGAGTTTTCTGCCAAAAGTGCATATAAAGCGTTGTCTTTTCTCTCTTTTTAAAGCGCTGGCCTTGTTTCTTTTTTGATTGAAGCGTTGGCTTATCTAGTTAATTTTATTTCATTAAGTAGTGTAAGGTTATTTAGAATAGTTATTGGGTGTTTAAGCAGGGGTATTATGGTATTTTAACTTTTTAATTTAGGGCTTCCCACTTTTAATATAGTATAGATTAGTGTTCACCTACGAGCAATATCCAATTTAGTTGGTATTTACCTTTGAGCAAAATCCAATTTAATAAGTTGTAAAATTATGTATGCGAATTTATGAGATACGGGAAGATAGAGGAGGTGAAAGGGTATATAATTGATATGAAATTATTGAAATCTTCAAGAGGTGTCTTTTGGGGAGAGAATTTAAGATGTGCATTTAAGAGGTGTCTTTTGGGGTTTTAAGAGGTGTATAGCACAAAATTGAAGAAAATAGTGGGAAAATCTAAAAAATTGAGATAAAAGATAAAAGGCTTTCTTGGCTATAGAGAGTGCCAAGTCACCTTTCCTATGTCCTTCCTTTATATAGATTTTCAAGCCTTGCTCAAGCCGTCTGATGCAGCTTATAGTTTGGTTTAAGAAGTTGAATGTCTTCGGATCAAAAGAATGAAGTATGTTTTATTTCTTTTTGTTTTCTTTTTACATTAAGTAGTAATTTCTTAAATCAAATGCAGCATAAAACTTCGCAATGCTTACTACAAGAGCTGGTGTGAGATGCTAGATTTTGACAATGAGGCATCTTCCAAAAAAACATAATATTGGCATGTCATCTGATGAGGTTTATCATCCAAAAGATTTTATTGCAGCCTTGAGTTTAAATGTGTTTCGACAGTATGCCTTCCTTTTCCCATACATGCACTCTGGAATTTCAATCATGCACGTACAAAATGTATGCCTCTAAATAGATTGCAAGTCCTTGGCCATGGAAACAAGACTTTGAGATCTAAAGCTCTATCCAAGGTAGCTTGTTAATAAGATCCCGACTAGCACGAAGATAATTACGAAACAATAGAGGGTCTCAACGCTGTTTCTTGTTGCTTTTGAAAAATTGGAGTTCTTGTGTTTTTTTCCTTTTCTAAGTCTGTATAGTAGGCTTTTCAAGAAGGGTTATCTGGTTTCCTTTTCTTGGGATGTAATAGATATAAATACTTGGTAGACTCGTTCTTGAGGAAAGACTTTGCATATTGTGATTCCAAAAATTGAACTTGGCAATTACTTTCAAGTTTGAGTTCTTGATGCCCGAATCGTGATGAGTGGTTTTTGAGTAGATAATAGTAATGTTATGACAAACGTTAGTTGACTTCTCGAAGCAAGGTATATTTCTTACTCAGTCGTACTTTTATAGTTTTTCTCTAACTCATGAGAGATGATATATGATTAGACAAGACGTCGAGCTGCCGTACTTAGACTGTGTCTTATTTGAGTTGCTTACCTAAAGGACATGTTGAGTCCATAGAGAAGTTTGTAAAGTTGGTCCTAAAAGCAATAACTGATAGCAATACCTATGTGTGGGCTACAATTCGTACAATTGGCCAATTCTACAAGAATTGGATCCTGCGGTTGTAAGAGGGGTTTCATGAGGATCTCTTCTCTCTTTTGGTAAAATTCTAGGATGATGTTGTCAATCCCAAGTAGCATTTCAACTATACTGCTCCTTAGTTGCAATTTCAGTTTAGATTTCTTGGAACGACACTTGAGCTAGATACCGAAGAAATTAATTGAGTTCCTAAATGAGTGACATTATTATGATGAAGGAAGCTGCTTTGCTTACTTTTGCCTCGTTACATGTAACTGAATCTATATTTGTGATACTACTACGAATCTCATTCTCCTTCTCGATCCTGATAGTGCATGATTACTTTGGATGGTGGAATAATACTATCCAATTATTATGCAGACCAGGCGACTCAAATCTTTTCATAGCCAAGTTATCTGAATGCAGGAGATCTAGCCAGGAACATTTTTTTGCAGGCATGAGCTAGACTTTGCGATAGCTTGGGATAGGCTCTTAAGTGCATTGGCTTGTAATGTGGTATGTCGCTTTGTAGCTAAGTTTCAGGGTAGACTCTATTCTTGGATTGATGAAGTTGTTAACACTTTAAGTTTTGATCTCACCTTTAAATTTGACCAAGAAGTAAAAATAGTTGCCATTTTGCCATACCTTTTTTTTTTTGAGCAGTATTTTATATATAATAAAACCAGCAAGAAGAAGTTGCTGGATGGGTTACAAGAAAAAGAAACAACATTACAAATTGTGTAATGTGCTAATAAAGTCAATCATGGCACAAGGGTCATAAGCATGTACATCTGCCCATGTTACACCAAAAACTAAGCAAAACAATACAATTGTGTTTGATATCAATGACTGTTCTTCCTACTATCAAACAACCTATCATTTCTCTCTTTCCAGATGCACCACCAAATTGCAGCCGGGATACTATTCCAAATTTTGATAGAAGGTCGCTGAATATCTAATTTGTGCCACCCTTGCAACAACTGAAGAGTTGAAAAGGGCATACACCAAAAAATGCCCAAGATATTGAGGAAAAGGTCCCGAATTTGGGAGGTAAATTTACAGTGGAGGAAAAGATGGTTGACGTCCTCCAGCTGCTCTTCATATAACACACATCTGTTGACAAGTTGCATACCCCTTCTTTGTAGGTTGCTTTGTGTGAGACAAGCTTCTCTAGATACCAACTAGGAAAACATTTAACCTTGGGAGGGGCCAGCCTCTTCCAGATGGGTTTCCAAGGCCAAGGAGTATTCAATGGGTTAGATTGTGTCAGAGTAGCATAACATGATTTCTCCGAGAATGTGCCTTTCCAATTCGTCGTCCAGATGAGGCAATCAGAGGTAGGAGAAGAAGAAGAAGATCTATGGAGAAAGTCCAAGAGACTCAGATACCTATCCACCTCCCAGTCGTTTAGGCTTCTCCTGAAATTGATGAGCCAACCATGATCCAATCTGAAGTCTGAAATGAGAGCATTTTTCGAGGAAGTGATTCTCTAAAGGTCTGGGAAGCTGTCTTTAATAGGAGAGTTGCTATGCCAAATATCTTGCCAGAATTTAGTCTTTCTACCATCCCCCACTTTTATTGAAGAGTGCAACATGAAGAAATCCCACAACATCCTGATATGTTTCCAGATACCAAGTCCTAAAGGAGGAGGAGTAGGTTTGGTGGTCTAGGGATCAAGAAGACCATACTTGGAGAAAATTACAGCCCTCCAGAGATAGTTTTCTTCTTGATTGAAACACCAGATCCACTTACACATTAGGCTACTGTTATGCGCCTTTAAATCCCTAATCCCCAGTCCTCCAAACTTCTTACTTCTGATGATTGTGTTCCACTTGACTAAGTTAAAAGATCTCCTATCTTTGTTACCTTGCCAAAAGAAGCCTCTGTGAATTTTATCCAATATTTTGGAGATACTTACAGGCATGGGAAAAAAAGCCATGGTGTAAGTGGGTAAAGAATCCAAAACACTGTTGATCAAAACCACTCTCCCTCCCAGTGAGGGATATTGTCTTTTCCAAGTAGACAACTTTCTCTCGCATTTCTCTAACACATCACTCCAGATAGATATAGCATTAGATTGGGCCCCCAGAGGAAGGCCCAAATATTTTGCAGGAAGAGAACCGATGTTGCAACCCATAATATCAGCCAGAAGTTGCATATTAGGAACCAGATTGATAGCATACAAATGACTCTTTAGATAATTGATATGCAGAGCCGAAACTGCCTCGAAAACCAAAAGAATCACTCTAAGATAAAGAACTTGATCAACAGCAGCATTACATAGAATCAAAGTGTCATCCGCATATAAAATATGTGAGATGTCAAGAGTGGAAGGCCCATTTACACAAGTAGAGAATCCCCTAATCCAGTTGTTTTCCATTGCCAAGCCATCATCCTGCTTAAACCTTCCATTACCAAAAGAAAAAGAAAGGAAGAAAGAGAGTCTCCTTGCCTGAGGCCTCTTTTTGAGGGGAAGAAGCCCTGAGGAGATCCATTCATAAGTACTGAGAATCTGACAGTGGAAATGCACCAATAAATCCAATTGGTCCACTTGCTACCGAAACCCATATCCTTTAGAAGGTTTAAAAGGAAATTCCAGTGCACATGGTCAAAGGCTTTCTCAATATCCAATTTGCAAAGTATACCTGGGATACCCTGCCTCTTTCTTGTATCAATACATTCATTGGTAATTAAAGATGCATCCGTGATTTGCCTCCCTTTAATAAAAGCCAACTGCTGTTGAGAAACCAACTTGCTGATAACACACTTTAATCTTCGTGCAAGTAATTTGGATAGGACTTTATAGAAGCTACCAACCAAACTAATTGGCCTAAAGTCCCTCAAATCCTTGGCCCCATTCTTTTTAGAAACTAAAGCAATGAATGAGGCGTTGAGGCTCCTTTGGAAATGTTCATGATTGTATCTACGGTTAGAGTTTGCCATTTTGTGGAAGAAACTTGTGTTCCTGTCGCCTTCCTTAAGCCAAAGACAACGGGATTTCTGTCTCCAAAAAACCTCTTTCTGCTTGGCTATGTCTTCAAGTTCCATTTGTAAACCCGCTCTCTGAACTAGTTCTCCTTTAAGGAGGATCCGATCTTCTGCCAGTTTATCAAAGTGTAAAATATCAATCAGAATGTGTGATTTCCTGTTTTCCAACTGACCAAAGGATGAAACATTCCAATCCTTAAGCTTGGATTTAAACCCGCCATTTCTTTTGCATTTAGCTGTAGAGAAAGAGTTTGTTATAGTAGATCGTGTAAAAAGCCAGTTGGTCAAAAAGATTTTCAACCGCTTTTTTACACAATTTACTACAACAAACGCTTCCTCTACAACTGAATGCAATAGTAATGTCATGGCGGTAATGATATCCATTCTAACTTTTTGGTAAAATCTAAAGTGAGACAAACAATTAATGTATTATCAACCTCATCAATCCAGGAGTATAGCCCACCTTTTAATTTGGCCGTAAAGCGACATAGCACATTGTAAGCCGGGCCTTTTTCTTCCAAGTCAATAGTTCTTATCCGGATATCCTCAATAATGACTCCAATCATTTTTGTGTGCGACTCTTAAACTACTTTTGGAGGAATCACTCTGTTCCAAGGCAAGATCTCTGGATTGAACTCTCCTATTTCTTCAGGCGCTTTAGCTGATTTTAGAATAATAACATGACAATGTTCACGTAACTAAGAAAATTTGACCCCAAGCTATTGCAGAGTCTAGCCTATGCCAGCAACAAAACGCTCGTTCAATCTCCAGCATTTTAATGAGTGCTTGGCTATGAGAATGCTTGAGTGGCATGGTCAGCATAATGATTGGCGGGTAGTATTTTACCACCCAAACTAATCTTGCACTCCAAAGAGTCGAGAATTAGAATGAGACTTGTAATAGTATAAATTAAGGTTGTTAGGGTTTAGGGTTTAAGAAGATATCATTCCAAGAAATCTGAATTGTAACTAACGAGCAGTATAGTTGAAATAACTTGCTTTTGCAATTTGAGGTTGACAACATCATCTTAATAAATTTTACCAAAGCATAGAAGAGTTCTTAATGAAATACCTCTTGCATGTGTCCAAAACTTGGAGAATCAAATGAACGGTAGCTCACGACACCCTAGTATCATTATCATTAATTGCTTTTAGGACCAACTTTACCCGCTACCATATTGACCACATGCCTTTGGGCATACGATTGAATGCTTTGTCCAATCATAATTATCTCTAAAGAACAAAGTTATTTGAGTACAAGTGAGTTAGAATTATGTCTTGCTTTGATGTAGAAGTGAGTCTGCTAAAGGCTATCATAATATAACTATATCTACTCGGAAGCCACTTGATACGATTCAGATGTCAAGAACTCAATCTTAGAAGTAATTCCCAAGTTCAATACGAACATAAATTTGTTTATAATCACGACATGCAAAATCTTTCCTTCAAGAATGAATTACCTAGGTATTTATAGCTAGTACATCTCAAAAAAAGAGAAGATGTCCCTTTTTCCTGGAAAGAAATACTAAACCAATCTAAAAAATGGGAAAAAACACAAGTCCTATTTTTAGAAGGAAACAAAACAACGTTGAGACATCTATCTTCCACCACGAGCTTCGTGCTAGCCTTGCCATACATGATTGTATCACTTGCTTTACATGAATTCTGAATAAAGAAGCTTGTCTCACTTGTGCGTATCTCCAAAGGCAAGTGCTCTTTTTGTGGAAGAC